ATAGGTGTTTTCTAGGACTAGTTATTCTGTATATAAGTAGAATTAGTATATATAGCAGTGGTAGTTAGGCTTCTAAGGGCTTGGCTAATATTGAATAAAGTAAGTAGAGATCTTTAATATTTTAGGAAGACATACTTGGCGCTATAAATAGAGGTAGAGAAGTATATGAGTCTAATATTAATTTCTCCTATATATTTATATACTATATAATTTAGGTAACTCTTTAATGTTCTTAGCATACTAGTAGTGCTAATAGCTGTGATAAGATATCCAGTCTGAATAGTATCTTGATGGCTAATATAGATTACTATTAATCTACTAAATCTATTATTAATTGCTATAAAGATTAAGATTATACTTATAAGTGATTGCTAGAGTGTAGAGAGTTTATAGACTTTATCTAATAATTCTCTAGACTAATAGTATCTAAAAGACTTCTTGAAGGGTTTTATTACTAAAATAATACCTCTATAACTAAAATTAAATAGACTTAGCTAGGTAGTGAGAGCTATTCAAATAGATAAAATTATTATTATCTTTGTTGTATTAAGGCTGCTGAGCTGGAGGTTTGAACTTGAAGAAAGTATGGTGCTTGTATTTTTAAGATGTGTAGGTGTGGTGGGCTTTATTCTATTCATTAAGGCGATTGATTCTGGGAGATTTATGAGATAAGTAATATATGTTAATTTTTGATGAGATAATGAAGTGTGGATATATATTGAAAATGTAGTTCTAAGAAGGAAGTTAAATCTCTGATTATTTATAAGATAACTATGGATACTAGTTATTATAATGTAGTGATTAGATGTTAAATATATGGGATAAAAATATAAGGAATATATGGGATGTAAGACGGAGAAATTCTATGATAAAATCTGAAAGAATATTAATTGGAAGTGGTAGGATTAAGTTTAAAAACTATATAATCTATAAGAGTAACTGTATTTGACTCTGATTTTATAGGCCTGTTTATAAGTTTCTTTTTTTAAAAGTAAAATTAAAGAACTTAGAATTAATAATATCTTCTAATATTAAAATTGTCTATAAGCTAATTTCGCTATTTGTTATTGGAGAAAATGGCTATTAAGAATTTCTAAAAGTGACTGAGATTCTTCTAAAGGGCTGGAAAGCGAATAACTTATTATGAGCTCTATCCACGGATATTCTAGTTGAATATAATGTTGAATTTAGAATGTATAATAGCTGTAAGATTTATGTAGATGTCTATTATCTAATATATTTAAATAAGGATTATCTAGTTTCTGTAATTTTATCTTGGAGCTCTTTTAGAAAAAAGTTTAATGGGGCTTGTTTCCTAGAAACCATGATCCTATATAATATGGGAGTTAAAGCTAGTGATCTTAGTGGTCTGGAAAAATTCAAGAGACTAGACCTGGTAGATTTTGTTCCCTATGGGTTTGCTGTTATTAATATTGATTTATGTGGGATAGGAGATTCTGAAGGGCTATGCCACATTATGGGCTCTTAGGAGGGTGAGGATGGGTATGATGCGATTGAATATCTAGCTAAACTTGAATGGTGTAATGGTTGGGTTGGAATGGTAGGAAATTTGTATTTAGCTGTTGTGTAGTGGTTTGTTGTATAGCTTCAGCTATTTTCACTAAAAGTAATAGTATTATGGGAAGCCTGTAGTGACTTGTTCAGAGAATAGTTTGTCTGTGGTGGAGTCTATTCTAGAGTCTTTTATAACTATATTATTAGCGCGATGATCTGAGGCTGGAATGGAATGGAAGATTTTGATAAGATGTATTAATAGAGCCTACTCGAGAATTCTTACTAGAATAGCAAGCGCCTGGATATGGCAAAGATCTGTGTATCTATATATATAACTGCATTGTTTAATAGCTTCCTGCATATAATGGGTTCTATTAGAGGATATATGGAAATAAAGCACGCTAAAAAATGGATTAGATTTAGTCTATATTAAGAGTGGCATAATTAATGGGCTGTGGAAGACTTAATGTAAGAATTAATCTCCTTCTTTATATACTATCTATATGATGCTAAGAATGACTGGGAGAAAATTCTATATGTCTGTATATATATGCTTTGTTTTGGCTATTTAGATTTTATCCTTAACTAAGTTGAGGATGACTTCTTTTTTCCTAGAACTATATATAATATGTTTTATTTAGGGAGAAATAGATCTATAGACATGCAGGCTATAGCTAGCAATCATACTGTATTATATAATTCTAAGGTTCCTTAATCTCATACTATATTTACCCTGCGATTTAAAGAGAAAATAGTTATTATAGGTATATCTAAGGTGGTGCTTTATATGTCTAGCTCTTCTAATAATATAGATATATATATTATAATCTAGAAGCTTAATGTTGAGAGAAAACCTATACTTTATTTTAATGTTCTATGGTCTTCTATAGGCCCTGAATCCTTTGAAGAGATTCCTAATGAAAAGGTAATAGATCTGATTATATATAAAGGATTAATTAGTATATTGTGTGCGTCTTATAGATAAGTTAATTATTAATAGTCTCTATATCTAAACTACCCATTTTATGCCTACTTAATTAATTAAAAATTGCAACCTGGAGAGGTGGTTAAGCTAGAAATTAGTATTTTTATAATGAGTATTAAGTACTAGATAGGTGAATCTTTATAATTTTAAATATCTAGGTAATCTCTATAAGATGTATTTTTTAATGAAATAAAGGGATAAGTGGGCAATCAAAGGAATTAAGGAGAATATGTTGTTCATTTTAGAATGTAATATTCTAGTCACCTCATCCTCCTATTCGTTTGAAGTACTCATTTGATTTGTCTACTTTATTTTAGTGTTCTTATTTAGAATTATTCTTCTCTCATCCTTATATCAAAACTAAGATAGATATAAATTCAAGCACGTTAGTTACGTCATCTATAAATACACAGTCAATCTTCTTGTTGATAGTGGTTGAGAGGAAAGTACCTGGCGGATTGATAGGCTTTTATTTTCTAACTAATTACTAATATACAGCATTCTTACTAGCATATTAATCTTTAATAGTCATATACATAGAAAACATCAGTATACTGGACAAGGTAATCGCAAGTTTGCTTCCTAGATTAGTGATTTGGCACGCTGCTGTATTCTTTACCTCTAGCTGATAATAATTTCTTCCTATTTCTCTACACCCTGAGGATATTTCATATATATTCAATATTTTTTGTAGGATCTTCTTTTATAAGGACTAAGTCTGTCTTAAGTCTAGGTTTAATACTTCTATGATTATGAAGCTTGAAGATCTAGGAAGATATAGAGGTTGATGACCTTAAGGCTTCTATTGGTGTGAATTTGCATTGATGGATGTAAAGCTATAGTTCGTGGTGGAGAGAAGCACTAGTAAAAATACCCTTTAAATAACTAGATGAGTCTGTTCTACTTTTAAAGTTTAGTAAACTATTTAAAAAAGAATATATAGTCACTTACTAGACAATATTAAGGTCTATTTTCTTAAAGAATTGAGTATTTTGGGCTGTATTATATATAGTGAAATTATTCCTTATAATACTAATGCATTTACATATATATATTCTATTCTCCTTATTTAAATCTTAGGAGAATATTTCCTGATTTTTAATCTCTTTATGTCCTGTAGATGCTTGAATAACTAATGTTAGAATTATAAATGGCTATTTCTTGTAGTAAGCCTATAAATTCTTTTTACTTAGTTTCTTATAGCAAGTATAAGCAAAACTATCTATTCTAGAATCTAATAATAATAATGTATCTTTAATTAAGAGTGTATAGCTAACTGTAATTATGTTGTATGAATAAGCTTTATTAATAATTGCTTTCTATACCTCTCTTGAGGGTATTAATACTGGAGAGATTAAAAATAAAAGGTTAAATAGCTTGCCACTTTTTTATATAAGCTTAATAAAGCTTTTAAATGTTAAAGTTAGAATGCTTTTAGATAAGATAGTCTGAAATTTTTATGATATATTTATTTAAAAAACTTACCTTGCTCTTGTGTGTATATTTACCTCTATAAAGACTTCTGCTAATGCTTTATTAATAATATTTGGCCATTTTTTAAGCCTTGTATGGGTCTAGATATGCTAGATCTATATTAATTTTGTTTAAGTCTTTTATTTGTATAGAAGTAGTATTTATATATCTTTTTATTGTCTGAACTTAATTGAATGATAGTGGATGGCTAGCCACTCTTAATAGTAGCTGCATGATAAGCGCTTCTAATATTGGCTATATTGTTCTATAAATAAAATAACTCTTTTATTTCTTTGAACTAGTAGGGTTTATTGTGTATATTTAATAAGGTTGTTATGCTAAATTGGAGAGTATTTGTAAGAAAATGGGTATCTCTGTATATGTGTATGTGTGAGTTAATAAACCCTGGTAAGAGTGTGTAATCTAAGCTTGATATATGAAGACATCCTTCTGGAATATTGCTAGGCATATTTGGTGAGATGCTCTTGATGTAGCTGTTCTTGACAAGCACAAAACTATTTTCTAGTATAATGTTCTTGCTGTCAAAGATCTGAATGTCAGTAATAAGCTAAGACATGATGAGACTTTTTGATGGAGAGATTGAGCATGTGTAAGGATGAACTGTTTCAGAATGAAAATACTTAGTTGAGGAGCCTTATAAAAAGAGGACGAATATCTGTCGTCTCAGATGACTGCTGGGAACGGAAAGTCCTTCCTGGCAAAGGCTGGAAAAATTCCGCAGTTCTAGAAGCCTCCGCTATTGACCCTCCATAGGTAAGATTACGCTTAGAGCATTCCGTCCTTTTCCTAGCCAATTATTCAGCAAAATAGTATGGTCCCGTTGGAAGACCTGAAATGGATTTGTGGTGGGACATTATTGGGAAAAGCCCCTCCCAAAACCGCGCGCTACCGAATTGATTTCACACACTTTAAGGTCATCTAAAAGGACTATAATTACAAGAATAAACAGTCTAGTCATTCTAAACGCAAGTGAAGCAACACCTCGCAATCGCTGAGAGTTACCGTCATGAAGTCAAAAAATTCAAAGATCGATGTCCACGCTCATTTTGTGCCTCCTTGCTGGCAGGATGCTCTCCGTGCCAATGGTCTTGAGCATCCCGATGGGATGCCAGCAATCCCGGTTGGTCCTCTAACCATCCTAAGGGCTTATCGTCATATTTTCGGCTAACAAAAATAGGCTTGGGATGTACAATCTCACGTACAACTTATGGATGCTGTGGGCATTGAGAAATCATATTTGAGTATCACATCGCCTGGTGTACACCTCGCAGTCGGGGACAACGCCTCTGCACGGAAGCTTGCTCGAGAGTGTAACACCTTCGCCTACAACCTCAAAAGGGAAATGCCTGATAGGTTCGGATCATTTGTCTCACTTCCACTGCCTGATTTGGAGGGTAGTATCAACGAATTGCAGTATGCCGTTGACAACCTGGAAGCAGATGGCGTTGTTCTACAAACCAACTACTATGGTAAATATCTTGGCAATAGTTTTTTTCGTCCCATTTTTGAAGAGCTGAATAGCAGAGGGATGGTGGTATTTATCCATCCAACTTCCCCCTGTTCGCAAGGTTGTCGAGCCCACCAAGATCTTCCTCTTCCTCAATACCCAGCTCCAGTTTTTGAATTCATGTTCGATACCTGTCGTTGTCTTATCGACCTTATATTGAGTGGCACTATTTCCAAGTATCCAAATATCCGGTATATAGTGCCGCATGCGGGTGGTGCTTTACCGCCTCTCATCCACCGTTTCTCTGAGGCCACGGCGTTGATTCCCGACTTAGGTTTGGATGCATCGATGACACCATCCGGTGTACGGGCTCTGCTAAACGAGAGGTTTTGGTTTGACACTGCTGGTCCTACATTTCCCAACCAGATAAAAAGTCTCCTCCAGTACATCAAGCCCGAGAGAATATGTTATGGCACCGATTTTCCCTTCACACCATTCCGGGGGGTAAATCATCTCAATGAAGTTATGGAGGAGAACCTGAGTTTTATCTTCGATAATGAAGCAGATCGGGAGGGGATGTACAGAGGGAATGCGAGCCGGTTGCTGGGAAATGAGTCTTCTCACGGTATTAGTGGTTGATGGAGCGTCGCATCTATGCGCGAAACTAAGACTTCAACGTCCTATATAGATGCAGCCCCCACTAATGTGGGTGAATGCGGAGACAAATTTATATCATGGTAGAGTGCGAATGCTCAACACATCATAAGATATTTGTCGTGTTGTCCGATCCGTTTGGTTGTATGATGAGCAGATTTAAAGGGATGTGAAATATGAAGGTTCTAATTGATCCATTCACTGATATCCGTTCCATCCCCACAACCACGCAGCAGGGTGATAAGTGGATCGGCTCAACCATTTCCTACATAGTATACTCTATAGTACGAATGAACAGGGGCCTAGAAGGATCTGATATCCCGGGTTTCCTTTACCGGACTCCAGAGTGGCGCTCAGCAAAGAGCAGCTAACCAGGATAGGCAAGCCACCTGACGCCACCCGATTACTCAGCAAAGCATACTTAAAACCAGTCAACCGCCTCTAGGCCCTTTAGATGGCCACGATCGGCGTTAGCTGCTCTCAAAAGGCACATCAAAATGCAAATAGCCTGGAGAGCTGTCCACAAAGCTTCCAATGCCAAAACAGGTTCCCCTCGGCATTATGCGTGTGACTTCTGCCGTCAGCGAAAGGTGCCGATTCAGAGCTGATGCTATTTCTACAATAGTTATACTAAACAATCTAATATAGATTCGGTGCATTCCCACTCCGTGGGGCTGCGAAAACTGCTGCCATGCTGGTTTCCAATGTATATTCTCTGGCCGACCGCATGTAGCTATACCACGGTACACTGGGTTGTTTTTCTACGTCACCAAATTAAGCTGACCAGATGATCAAGTGGATTGACAGAAATCGAGTCGGGGTCCTCTGTTCAGGCTGATCCGTCCAAAAAGAGTGATTTGAAGACTGAAATCCATGCAACGACAGCTTTTGACGGCGGCCTTAGTCCTGGAAAACTCAACGAAGATGACCTATACACCGCTCTGCGTCAATTTAAATTTCACATTGACTACTGCGCTATTGACAATCCTTTCTCAGGCCCATCCTCTCTTTTCTCCGCAGAAATTCAAGACTGGATACTGACTCAAACCGGGGCCACGCTTTCCTTCCAACACTTCACCGATCATGTGAAACACCTCGTGGGAACTCGCTTGCAACCACGTCAGTCAGGTACATCAGTAGAAAACTGGCACAATCAACGGCCCCTTGTGTTGCCCGAACGAGAGCTCGTCGAGAGTTGTCTCGGAATTTTCACCACGAGCATGATTCAGTGGCTGTTTCCTGTAGTGCATCAAAATAATTTTCAAAGTTTAGTTTCAGGGGCCTATGCATCTACAAAAACATGCCATTCTCTCTCCACTACGATGTGCATTTGCATGTTTACGGCATTTATCTCGAGACATACTCAAGCGATCTACGCTATTCCTGAGATGAAGAGTAAAGAATATGTCCAAAAGATCTTCAATCTAGTGCCTCTTCTACTGTTGGAAGACTTCTCAGTGGAAGCATTACAAACCCTAACAATGCTTGTACGTATCCATCCTCCACGTCAACTCTTACCTCAATCGAGGCACTTAACATGTCTCCATATCACTAAATTGGCTTTTATAACCCTGAATAATAGTTGATTCTTGATTCTTTTAGGCTCTCTATGCGGTTACCTATGGCGAGATCCACATGACGGAGTTATGCCTCTCATGGGCGGCGCGTGTGCTCTTCGCGTTGGGAGGACATAGAAAACCACGATATGGGGAAACATCTAAGCACTCTCATGTTCAGAACTTGTTTTGGCTTTGCTACATCCTGGATAAAGAAATTTCAATAAGAACTGTTCGGCCGCCTATAATCAAGGATGAGGATTGCGACTTGGATCCGCCAGCTAATTATGTTCATCACCTCTCTGAGAATCTGCTTTCTTTTGACAACCCCATACGATTCCCTGGCCTCCTCTTCCCCTCCGACATACGACTTGCCATGATAAAATCAAAGATATACCAGCTTCTATATTCTCGGGAGGCACTAGAACTTCCTGACGCTGAGAAACTGAGGCGCATATCTATATTAGATGAGGAGTTGAACGCGTGGAAGTCAACCTGTCTAGCTGCAGCCTCCGAAATCAGGCCCACTGCCGACCCCGGACATATTGCTGTTTCTATTCGGACAATGCTTCCACGCCTAGAGTATTACAACTGTCTGGCTAGGATTCACCAATTTGGCCGCAGAGGCCAAGACATACTCTCGAGAAGGCTCTTGTCATGTGACGAAATTGCCATTGAGGCATCTCGTTCAACATTGATGTATACTAGACTCATCTGTCCTATCCTGCGTGTAGAAACCTATTGGCAAGTATTTCTATTCACCTACAGTTCTTCTAGAGGATGGCACTGTTACAATGTTGTGCAATTACTAATTATTTTCTTAGGGTATTCGCCCTGAGCGCGATCCCTGCTGTTCTTGACATTTTCGCCTTGTTACTAAATGATCCTTTTCAGCCTCACTTTGTGAAAGATATGGATCTCATCAGGACTATGAGCGTAACGTTTGCGGCGTCTTTGTCAGAAGGAAATTTCGATCAAGTCTTGCCGCTGTTGATTACCAAGGCTTTCATTGATGGCCTAATACAAATAATTACGTTTGGCACCCAAAAAAGACAACTCGATTAGTGATATTTTAAATCCTGTTCATTCCACGCGTTAGATTCTGTACCTAGCTCATTTTAATTTTACTGAGTGCAGAAGATAAAGATCTCGGTGATCTTGAATAGCAAATCCCACAGCTATAATCTAATCTAGAAATTAAAGAAACCAGATGACTTACAATGGGATTTCTTATATTAGTCTCTTCGTTCAAGGTATTAACCAAAGCAGTTGCAAGTAAATTTGAAATAATAATCTTATTCTATATAAGAACGGATCGATTAAAAAAGGTATCAAAGTACATGGACTGATATAGCTGACTATAGAGTGTTATGATTAACTAATTAACTAACTTAAGGTGTACACTTGGTACCAGGTTTATAACGCTTAGATATGGATGGACAGCGCGTAAATTGTTGTATAAATATACATCCATAGATGACAATCTAGCTGAAAGACAAATACATATCATGAGAGTTTCACCAACTTGTCCTCCCTATTCTCATTCGACGCAGTAGTCGCATTCTCTTAGGCCACAGCCATCTTATTTTTTCTTTAGTAGTAGTATCACAATCTAATAAACAGGTACAGTGGGATGAAATATGTTTCCGCACCCCCCGTATCCGAAACTCCCACACCACCATTCATTCTACACAAAATCGCGTACATATCACGTCGCATGCGAATCTGGATAAGATATACAAAGTATTAAGGCTTTTTGAATGTTCCCGTTGTCTAGTTCATTACTATATTAAGGTGATAATAAGCTTTTAGGAAACTGTCAGATATGGGAGTAGGAATATATTTCGTGTTACTGTATTATTATCCTTATTATTATCTTTAATAATGAAGAGGATCTATAGAAGATAAGGAGAATTTTTATGAATTAAGCCTAAAATAGTAAGTGACTGATGAGCCCTCTTACTATCTATTATATATGGTTAGGTGATAGTTATCCTAAATATTTCGCTAAATTCTAAAAGAATCCTACTATAGGAATAACTCGATATATTCCTTGGCTAGAGTTATTTTAAATATATCACTTAAGAAGAGGAGGATAATATAAATATATATTAGGTGTGAGAAGTTAGCGCCAAAGTCTCTATAAGTTTCTTGAGGAATTATTATGGCTGTTGTTTATTCATACTTCTATAATATATAAAATATGAAATCTCTGCTAGTTTACTGTTCTTAGTAGCTATCTATGTACTTCTAATATATTTGGGCTATGTTTGAGCTTCTTAAGATTATATTCTGTCTAATAGTTGAGGGAGTGTTTTTGAATATTTCTAATGGGACTGACTGGCTCACGACCTCAGATGTGCTATTCTTGCAATTAAGCACTAGGATAATTCTAATTATTAAGATTTAGTCAATAGTAAAGTCAAAACTAGGAGGAATGTCATGTATGTAAGGATAGATATGTGCTGAAGATAATCTGCTACTATATATATATCTACTATATTTTAGAGTAGTATTAATCTGACTGACCTGCGCCATAAATTTTGTTTCTAACTAAACATACATATGGTCATAAATTGTTTATTTTCTGAATGGTGTTTCATGGTGGTGGTGTATACTAGATCGCTCTGTTGTCAAGTTCGTGGCTTTTGTTATGGGGAGTTAGCTAACAGAAAGTGATTCTGCTACACCACATCAGATATTGACATGCATGCCATGTTTGCGCTGCTATGATGTTTTGTATAAATCTTGGATCTATGAGGCTTAATTATCAGATTATTGTTGAGATGTATATATTAAGGGTTTTCTATTGGTATTTGTTGATATGGAGGTGGTAAACAGAATAGTATCACTTGTCTCTAGCCCTAACTGTAGCTACTGCAATCCCACATTCATACTTATACTAAGTGGAGTTTTAATTCATGAGTAATTATAGACTTTTTAAATGACTCTAAAATTATAACCATATTGCTCAAAGCTCCAGCTATGCTCTGCTACGCAAATTCAGTTCTCTGGGATATTTGCTACTTCTTTGACTCTAGTTAGAACTTACAGTGATTAGGCATATAGCAGTAAAACTCTTATGATAAGTATTGACCTTTATAAAATTAGAGTGATAGAAATGATCTTGAGATTAGAAGCCTTAACTTAAGATAGGTATTTTAAAGAAGTTTTATAATATAAACTTATTAACTATTATAAGTGGCTGACCTAATCTATATACTGTAATATAAAATTATTAATAATCTGGCCTTATATTTGATCTTAATTATAGATACTCTTCTTAATTTTTTTTTAAAAGTTTAATCCTTTAGAATCCTATATGTAATTATTCTTGAAGGCTTTATTACATTCCTTAATAAGGGGCTTTATATAGATATTAATTATACTGCCTAGCTTAATAAAACTGACCTTATAGATCTCTTTATA